CCATCCTATGCATTATCATGGGATAATCTATGATGCAATCTTTTTGGAGAACTCATGACAATATCTGGGAAATATCTACAGGTGCATATGTTTTGCTCATGATTGAAATGTCCTTCCTAATGTATGAGTACAAAAGATGCCAGTCTAAGAATGTTTTCTGAAGCATCGTTTATAATAGCAAATAATTAAAGGTGATCTAAATTCTTTCTAGTAGAGTACTGGTGTAATATAGTATGACACATTCAAGGCATGGAATACTGTGTAACTGAGGTCAAGTTCTAAGTGCTATTATGGAAAGATCCCCAAGAGTCATTGTGAAAGTGATATAAGTCAAGGCACTCATTAGTATATGTATCCTGGAAGACGTGAAAATGGCTGAAAAAAAATAGAGCATGTGGGTGTATGGGTGTGTGTGTTTGTGTGTGTGTGATGCACTGATTTTTTTTTTTTTTTTTTTTGAGTTGGAGTCTCACTCTGTCACCCAGACTGGAGTGCAGTGGCCGCTCCTGGCCACTGAAGCCTTGACTTGCTGGGCTCCGGCGATCCTTCCGCCTCAGCCTTCCGAGTAGCTGGAATTACAGGCACGCGCTACCATGCCCGGCTGATTTTTTTTATTTATTGTAGAGATGAGGTCTCGCCAAGTTGCCCAGGCAGGTCTCGAACCCGCAGGCTCAGGCAATCCACTCACCTCGGCCTCCCAAAGTACGGGATTATAGGCTGAGCCACCGAGCCCGGCTGATTTTTTTTTAAACTTACATTTTAAGTGTTTTCTTTAGGTACCACGTTCCCTAATGTTAAAAGAGGTCTCACAAATCCACACAAAAAAGGTAACTCAGTAAAGGTATGAATAGAAAGCTCACCTCAAATGAAATGTGTCTTAGTCATTTCTTTCAGTAGACATCTGAAAAAAAATGCTTAAATATACTCATAACTGAAGAAATAAAAGAATAAAACAGCAATGAGATACCACTTTCATCTTTTAGATTGTGAGAGTTTGAAATTTTTGAGCAATCTAAGTGTTGGAGAGAAACATGCTGTTGGAAGTGTGAATTCCTGTACTTTTTTGAGTCTTTTTGGAGGGTGATTTTGCATTCTCTACAACTGCTAAAAACACCAAAGATCTCAGATACATCGTTGTTAAGTGAAAAACATCAAGATGCACAATAGTATTTAAAATAGGATGTTAAAAAGTATATGCATCTATTAACACACATGAATATGCATAGAACTCTGAGGAGTAGAAATGAGAGTCTGTTAGGAAAGAGAAAGAGACTTGGCTTTCATTTTACACTGGTCTCACTCTGCTGCCCAGACCAGAGTTCAGTGGCACCATCACAGCTCACCACAGCCTTGACCGCCTTGGCTCAGGTGATCCTTCTGCCTCAGCCTCCCGAGGAGCTGGGACTATAGGCACACACCACCACACCAGCCTAATTTTAAAAAATTTTTGTAGAGATGAAATCTCCTTATGTTGCCCAGGCAGATGTTAAACGCCTGGACTCAAGCAATCTTCTTCCTTCAAGCCTCCCAAAGTACTGGGATTATAGGCATGAACCCCTATTTTTTTTTTAAAAAAAAATCTATGTGCAAGTTATTTTTATAGTAAAAATTAAAACCTCACTAACACTGAAAATTATTTTTCTACTTCATAAGCAATGTAATTTAGTCATCAAACTGTTTTCTTTCTTTCTTTTTTTTTTTTTAGGTCAGACTCTTACTCTGTTTGCCCAGGCATGCTCACAACCACCGCAGCCTCGACCTGCTGGGCTCAGGCAATCCTTCTGCCTCAGCCTTACAAGTAGCTGGAGCTACAGGTGCAAGCCACCATGTCCGGCTAATTTTTTGATTTACTGTAGAGACAAGGTCTCGCCAAGTTGCCTAGGCTGGTCTCCAAGCCCTGGGCTCAGACAATCTTCTCGTCTCCACCTCCCAAAGTTCTGGGATTATAGGCGTGAGCCACTGGGCCCAGCCCATCATACTGTTTTCATTAGGCTGGGCAAGGTAGCTCACACCTATAATCCCAGCACTTTGAGAGGTGGAGGCAGAAGGATTGCTTGAGCACAAGTTTAAGACCAGCCTGAGCAACATAGCAAGTCCCTGTTTCTTTAAAAATATATATCTATTTTTTATTGCCTTTCCATATATCATTGTCTAATAGTTCCCTTGTATTATAAATCCCATGACAGAGATTTTGTCTGTCTTGTTCCCCTGGGTATACCATGGTATCTAGTCACAGGGTAGACACTACATAAAAATTTGTTAATACTGAAAGGAAAAGTGACCAGCTTGGTGACTCACACCTGTAATCCCAACACTTTGGGAAGCAGAAGTGAGAGAATTGCCTGAGCCTAGGGGTTTGAGACCAGCCTGGGCAACTTGGTGACTCTTCATCTCTACAATAAATCAAAAAATTAGCCTGGCGTGGTGGCATGCACCTGTAGTCCCAACTATTCGGGAGGCTGAGGTGAAAGGATTGACTGAACCCTGCAGGTCGAGGCTGTGGTGGCCGTGAGCATGCTACTGCACTTAAGCCTGGGTGACAGCGAGACTCTGATTCAAAAGAAAAGAAAAGTGTTTTTAATTTTTAATTTATTTTTATTTTTTTGAGTTGAAGTCTCACTTTGTTGCCCAGACTGGACGGCCACTGCAGCCTCGACTGCTACACTCAGGCCATCCTTCCGCCTTAGCCTTCCAAGTAGTTGGAACCACAGGTGTGAGCCACTGCTCCTGGCAGGAAAAGTATTTTTTAATAAAGTGTCCAGTATTCTAGTACTACCATCGTGAAGTCTGGCACATAATTAATTGTCTCCATTTTACGGGTAAAGGAGAGAAAAATCAGCAAATCACAGAGCGAGTCTAGATTTTATAGATTAAAAACATAGCAGCTGTTCAGAGTGCATTTGGTATTAGAGCTGAGGCTGAGATTTTTGTGAGTCATGACTATTTTGTTTAGCTTAATAGATTATTCAATTTCTTGACTGCTAATTGGAAAATGGTTGTTACATCTTGTCCTGGTGCTTGACTAACAGTGCCCCTAGGATACAGATAGCTGTTAATGAGTGTGAAGTTTTTCTTCCAAAGAGCTGTGTTCCCATCTCAACGAACTAAGTATGATTAGATGAAATGTCTAAGTTGACCCACAGAACGAAGCACATCCTATTCAGTTAAATTTTTTGTGATATTCAGCATAGGTTTATTGAATTATGGACAGTGCCTGTGATGGTCCCATGTAGCCTTTTATCTATTTCTGTGAAGATGTGTGAATGTATGCAGACGTGGACTGATGGACCATTTCATAATATAAAGTGAATGAGGATATATAGCATGCTTGGCTCTTTACGGTAAATAATGTATATGTTAAAACTAACAAATTGAAAATAACTGATTTTCTCTAACTAAATATAAAAGCACAGTTAACTAATGTGGCAAATACAATTTTCATTGTAATACATCCATGAACTTTGGTTTACCTTTGTGTCTATACATAAAATAACTGAATATTCAGTTACTATTTAAGTGGATGGGGCCAGGCACATTGGCTCATGCCTGTAATTCCAACACTTTGGGGAGGCCAAGGTAAGAGGATAACTTGAGCCTAGAAGCTCAAGATCAGCCTGGGCAACATAGTAAAACCTCGTCTCTACTAATTAAAAAAGAAAGAAAAATTTTAAAAATGATTAATGGCATGTATGTGCATTCATTTCAAAAAAATAAAAATAAATAAATATATTTGGTTAATCCTTCTTTCCTAGGAAAGGATTTGCAATGCCATATATTAAGCTCTGATCTCTAGTTCAGTTTTTTACCTTCATGAATATATATCTTCTGCTAAGAATTTGCTTCACGATATAATGAAACAAACAAAAAGTCATTTGGGCCATTTCAATATGCGTAACTCCGTGAGACAGGTAATCTTATGTCCATGGCAGATACTATAATATCTTGAGGTAGCTGGCACTCAGTAAATGTTTATTGAATTGCTAATAATTTTCTTAAGGAAAGAAAAACATCCAAGAGATATTTTACAGAGTACAAAGTCACTTCCTTCCTCAACCTTCAATTACTGTATAATAAAATATTATTTGGCATCTGACTTGCTTTTGCTTCATATTGCATGCACCGAATTAATTCCCTACTATGTTTCAGTTTCTCTCCTACTTTTAGCAATAGATTGTGGAGGGAACAAGGGAAGTTTGTGATCCTTTGACACTAGGGATGAATGAGATGTTTAAGCCTTTCTTTCACCTCCTCCTTCTCCTTGGTCTTGCTGCAAGGACACCAAAGGGGCAATGACCAGGGATGTTTTGCTCTGAGAGCGGCCTCCTCTCCAAATCTGCCAAAAATCAGAATGACAGCCTGTTTGTACCGTTGCTACAGATCAATTACGTGACTTGAGAAAAAGGCATCTCCCACCATGCTTGCCATGGCTTCTTTGAGCCATAAATATCCAGCGATAGGTTCCCATGTGAAAGAATTTTTTTAAGGAATCATTTTGTGGTTTCAGTGTGGGTGCTGCTTTGAGTTTCTTGATATGTTTTATTCCAAGGAAGACATTCATTAATCCAGTTTCATTTTATTAACTAAGGAAGTACAAAACCAACTGCTTCAGGAAACTAATTCCATACTCTTGTGCCATCTTTCCTGAAAAAGAAGTGTATGTTGTATTCCACATGGAACCCTTTGAATTCTGTTAATATACATCAGTAATATTTTAGATGGAGGCCAGTTCAGTGTGGAAATATCTTAGAAAAGCCCTTACCTTTCATTGTCCCCTCTGAAGCAGACTTTCAGGGAGAATCTCATCCTAATTCTAGGTCACTGGTTACTTAATCCTCTTTCCTGACACAGCTTACCATCTGCACAACATTTTAACTTCTGAATATTTAAATTTTACCAGTGATGGCAGGTTTTTTCACAACTACCAGTTCTTTGCATTTTCAAAGTGGCTCTGATGGAATCTCATTTATCCAGCAGCTTCTGGTTTTCTGTTTTTGGGGGGGTGGCTTGGTTCACTTTATTTTTTTGTATGAAAACCCTATGTCGTTGCCACCGCTGGAGCCTGGGTCCTCTGCATGGAGACTCTGGTGTGGGTCTTGACGAGATGGTCCGTGAATTCCTGATAAGGAGACTTGGTGAACACTATCTCTTTCCAGAGGTGAGGGGTCAAGTAGCTGTAAGTCTTAGAGATGGCATCAAAGGTGGCCTTGGCGAAATTACCCAGGGTGGCAGTGCAGCCCCTGGCTGAGGTGTAGCAGTCATCAATGCCAGCCATCATGAGCAGTTTCTTAGGCACGGGGGGCGAGATGATGCCAGTGCTCCTGGGGGCAGGGATAAGGCGCACCAGGACAGAGCCACGGCGGCCAGTCACCTTGCGAGGGACAGTGTGGGGTTTGCCAATCTTGTTCCCCCAGTAGCCTCTCCGCACAGGGACAATGGACACAGCTTGGCTAGGATGATGGCCCCAGAATGGCGGTGGCTACTTCTTTGGAGCACTTAATGGCGGTGGCTACTTCTTTGGAGCACCTAGACCGACGTGGCCATTGTAGTCCCCGATGGCAACAAACGCCTTGAACCTAGTCCGCTGGCCAGCGCGAGTCTGCTTTTGCACAGGCATGATCTTCAAAACTTCATCCTTCAGAGAGGCACCAAGGAAAAAGTCGATGATTTCAGACCCCTTGATAGGCAGGGAGAAGAGATAGATCTCCTCCAGTGACTTGATCTTCATGTCCTTGACCAAGCAGCCCAACCTGGTGACGGGCATCCACTCCTTGTCCTCGGCCTCGCCCCCGCCCCCGACCCTGGCTGGGACCTCGGCAGCGGCCGCGAAAGCCACTGCGGCTTCCCATTCCGGGGCCCCGGGGCCTCCAGGCCCTCCCGCTGCACCGGAGTCATCTGCCATTCCGTGTCTTTTGGAGAAAAAGCTTCTGGTTTTCTTTTATCTTCCTCTTATTTTCTGTCCTTTTGTTTGTTGATTTGTTTGTTTGAGTCAGGGTTTCACTCTAGTCCCCTCCGGCTGGAGTGCAGTGGTACCATCGGGGCTCACCACAGCCACAACCTCCTGGACTCAAGGGATGCTTTCTCCTCAGCCTCCCAAGTAGCTGGGACTACAGGTGCATGCCACTATGCCCAGCTCATTTTTGTATTTTTTGTAGAGTCGAGGTCTCGCTATCTTGCCCAGGCTGGTCGAATTCCTGGACTCAGGCGATCCTCCTGCCTTGGCCTCCCAAAGTGCTGGGATTATAAGCATGAGCCACTGCACCCGACCTTTCTGTTTCTATGAATAGGGATTCAAGGGAAAACAGGCATAATTGGAAGTAGCCCATTAAGGAACTATTCCTAAGAAAACATCTGTAAGATGTCTAAATGCTTATACACTTTATTGTACCTATATTGCATTATGGCAGCTCTCATTGTTTAGGATAAGTGGTTCTTTTTTTTTTTTTTTTAGTTGGAGTCTCACTCTGTCGCCCAGACTGGGGTGCAGTGGCCGCTCCCGGCCACCGCAGCCTCGACCTGCTGGGCTCTGGCGATCCTTCTGCCTCAGCCTTCCAAGAAGCTGGAACTGCAGGCACGTGCTACCACACCCGGCTAATTTTTTGATTTATTGTAGAGATGAGGTCTCACCAAGTTGCCCAGGCGGGTCTCGATCCCGCGGGTTCAGGCAATCCACTCACCTCAGCCTTCCAAGGCGCGGGATTACATGCTGAGCCACTGAGCCCGGCATAAGTGGTTCTTAACATGAGTTAAGTATATCTGGGAAGCTTTTGTAGTCACCAGTGCTGAGGACTTGACACCTCTAGAAGTGTCAGGATCAGGAGGTTTTAAAATATCCCCAGATGTGATGAGAAGATGTTAGAAATGAGGAGTCTATTTATCTGCATTCACCCCTCAAGTGATTCTGATTATTTTAATTAATTACTTTGTCTATTTTTAACTCATGGGATACAAGTGAGAATTTACTAATAAGTAGGCTACATGCAGGTGCAGTTTGGGCTTCTAGCCGTTGCTCTCACCCCCAGTTGTGGACCAGGTACCCAGTGTGATGCTGTGTGCCATCCCTCCTTCCCTCCTTTCCTCTCTTCCTCCCTCCCCCCTCTAACACTTACCAGTGTCTGCCCTGTGTGACCAGTGATCAGGCCCCGCTTACGAGCAAGAACATGCAGTATTCAGTTCTTTGTTTCTGTGATAGTTCACTTCAGTTCTTTGTTTCTATGATAGCCTTCAGCTGCATCTATGTTGCTGCAAACGCTATTGTTTTGTTCTTTTTATGGTTGCATAATATTCCGTCATGTATAGGTAACACATTTTCTTTACCCAGTTCACTTTTGATGGGCATCTGGGTTGGTTCCATGGTTTTATCTTGTGAAAAATGCTACAGTAAACATATAGGTATCTTTTTTTGTAGAGTGATTTATATTCCTCTGGGTAAATTCTCAGAAGAGGGATTGCTGGATCATATGGAAATTCAATTTTTAGTTCTTTGAGAAATCACCACACTGCTTTCCACAAAGTCTGAACTAGCTTACATTTCCACAAACAGTATAGAAGTATCCCCTCTTCTCTGCAGCCGTGCCAGCACTTGTTTTTTGACTTATTAATGACATCCATGCTGACTGGTGTGAGGTGGCGTCTCATTGTAGTTTTGATTTGCATTTCTCTGATGATTAGTAAGGCTGAGTATTTTATCATGTGTTTGTTGGCCGCTTATATGTCTTTCTTTGAGAAGTGTCTGTTCATGTCCTTTGCCTACTTTTTAATGAGGTTGTTAGTTTTTTCCTTAAAATTTGAGTTCCTTGTAGTTCCTGGGTGTCAGTTGTATAATTTGCAAATATTTTTTTCTATTCCATGGGTTGTCTCTACTCTCTTGATGAGTTCTTTTGCTGTGCAAAACGTCTCCGTTTGATAAGGTCCCACTTGTCAATCTTAGCTTTTGTTGCGTTTGCTTTTGTGGACTTTTTAACTTTTCAAATCAAAATAGAGATTGGGGTCTCACTTTTTTGCCTGGTCTCAACCTCTTGGGCTCAAGCAATTCTCCCGCCTTGGCTTCCCAAAGTGCTGGGATTACAGGCATGAACCACCATACCCAGCCAATTCTGATTATTTTAAATACACCTGGAATAGGTTGCCATTCTGTCATGGCATATTGAGCTTTCTATTGTTCTAGATAAGAATGTATGAACCAAGGTAACTTGGGTCTCTATTACTGTTTAGAAAGAATGGAATTGCATTAGAGTAAAATTGTTGTTACAGCAAAAGTCAATAGCATAGTTAAATCCTGATATTTGTAGTAAACATTTTTAAACTTTGATTTTGTAAAATATTTAGTTTGTAATAGAATCTATTTATGTATTGGTTATTGAATTTTTTCCCTGACTATTGTAAATAATAAAAATTTTTGCTACAGATTAAGAAAGTTTCCTATACTCTCATTCTCTAGGGTTAATCCTTTTTGGATCGTATAACTATTAACATGCCAGTAAATACTTGTGACCAAACATAAGAGGGTTTCTAAAACCATAATCATTTTGATTTGACTCTAAAAAAGCAATCATAATAATTTACAATCCAAATGCTTTTAAGAAGTAAGGTAATTTTTGTCTATGTAAACATGATCAATATGTACTTCAAAATTATACATTCATGGAAGCTTGAAAATATATTGCCATTTATGCCTAAAATTTGCTAAACATTTATTGGGCAAGCTTATATTAGTATATAATAGCAATATATGCTATATATAGCAGATATAGCAAGATTGTAGCAGTATATATTAAGCAAGTATATAGTAGCAAGTATGTATGTAACATGTGCTTAAAATATATTACTCATTGAATCCTCAGTAATGGTGCCAAGAAGGCAATAACCCCCATTTACAGATGAGGAAGCTGAGGCTTAGTCACAGAGTTAATAATTGTCAAAGGGGTGGGATTTGTACTCAGGTTTCTCTGGAAAGCCCCTGTTTCTACTTACACCACCTTTTCAGCCTCACAAAAGCCAGAATAGCATTTCTTCTTCAACTACAAATAAGAGATGGGATCACAGTCAGAAAGTGACATTATAGCCTATAGTTCTCTATTTTGGTTGTTCCGTTGTCACTTCTTTGTCCTGTAGCACCAAACCGTCTTCTCAACCCACTGGGGTGGTGCAAGAGGAGTTGGCGGCTGATGAGTAATTCAGACAGAGTTTGAGTGTGATGATAGAGACAGCTGAAAATGAAACTTTGGCGGGAGGTAAGTCACATATTAAACTATGTTAAGAAATCAGTACTGATGACAAGAAGTATCGGTACCTTAAAAGATTTTTAACTTTACTAAATAAAAGAGGAATTGGTATTGTTAATAAAAGTCGGTGCCTTAGTATACAATCATGGAGGGAAAACTATTTCTGTTTCCTTGCAACAGAGGTGAAGAATGCTGTTAGGTCAGTGCAGACAGCTAAGTCTTGTAAAGCTGCTTACATTGCATTAAGAAACTACAAAGTAAGAAACAGCCCATTATTCTAGCTGTCGAGTTATTTCAGGAATGACATTGGAGAGTTCAGCGGATCCTACTTGAAACAAAGAGTTGTTAGCTTTGTTCAAATCTGTAAAGCTCTCCTTAATGTTTTAAAGATTATAATACTTTTTCATTTCCTTATTGATGTTGGAGCATGAGGTTTAAAAAACTTTAATTTCCAGGATGCCAAGAAGAAAACTGTCTGTTTTTAAGAATGGGATTCACATGGACGGTAAAATGTATCAGCAGCTGATGAATCTTAAAGGAGCATTTACCACACTTTGTTACTTTGCCTAGCATTTCCCCCTGGCCACCCTGTGGATTTTATGCCAGTGAGTGAATTTCTCATCCTCTAATGGTGGCAGTTCTTAACCTGTTCCACTATCAATTAAGTGTTAGCCCATAATCTATAACTATCCCACTATAAATTATCCCACTATCTATTAGAGTTTAAGCACTCAAAAGAGGCAGGCAGGTGGTAAATGCTGTCATTGCATTCTGAAGATAAAGGTTTTGAAAGAGAGATTAAGTAAGATATAAGGTCTCAAAAGTGACCCTGGCCACCTGCTTTCTGCGGAATGTATACTTTCCACAATTTTGCCATAATTATAATTCCTTTTGCATTGTTATTCAATTTTGTTTTCAAAATTGAAGAACAAAACTTGAAAACAAAATTTTTGAAAGAATCAAATGTTCATTTTGAAATAAGGTTTCTAGGACAGTGCAGGAAGGTGCTTTCCTCTTCTAAAATTTTCTGAAATATTTTTAGCCTTCTAACATACGTGCATGTGTGCGCACTCGCACGCTATATATAGTGACCTAGTTGTCTCAGTCCTCACTACTTCTAAGTGTGGTTCATGTGTGTGAACCAGCAGTTCCACTGGAGAGCTTGCTGGAAATGCAGAATCTTAGGCAGGTCCCAGACCCACTAAATCAGAAAGTGTGGTTAGTTCCACAAGATTGCCTGGTGTTTCCTATGCTGTAACATACCCAAAGCGTGAGAGGTTCTGGGAGCAGGAAATCACTGCCTGGCAGAAAGGCCAGGCATGGTACTATCTGTGTTTCCACCAAGCAAATTCTCATTCACTGCCTGAGAAAATCCTTTCCTCCTTTCTATTTTTTTCTCATTTTTTAATTTTTTTGAGTCAGAATCTCACTCTGTCACCTAGGCTGGAGTACAGTGACATGCTCACGGCCATCGCAGCCTCAACCTGCTGGGCTCAGATGATCCTTCCATCTGAGGCTTCCAAGTAGCTGAAACTATAGGCATGCGTCACCATGCCCTGCTAAGTTTTTTATTTATTGTAGAGATGAGGTATCACCAAGTTGCCTGGGCTGGTCTTGAACCTGTGGGCTCAGGCAATCCTCTCACCTCAGCCTCTCAAAGTGCTAGGATTATAGGCAT